TAATCTTATGAAACTTAAGCTAGAGTCGTCTAAGGTAGGAATACGTTTATACACACCGTCAGAAGTTTTAAAGGTTATAGGAACCGCTCTTTTACCAAAGGGAACGACCATTTTGTTGGTTGTATCATCCGTTGAACCTTCGTTAGCCCATTGGAAGGATGAACCTGGACACAGTTAGTTTAGGCCACCAAAAAAGTATTATGGGATTAAAGGGGGTTCGACATTTACAGGAGAGGTTCATCGTTCCAGCTTGGTTCGAGAGCACCATGATAGGCTCTGTTTCCCCCGACGGGACAACTAACACAAGCAGGTAGTCTGTGTCTTCCACTAGTAATCGCATCGCTCGACAGCCAATTTGGGCTTGAACAAAACTGTAGTAAAGATGTGTCAAAAAGGAAAAGTAGCGTTGGTGTTGCGACTTTAAACAAACCTCCGATATAGGACCTCTTCGTTATCACATCCTGCATGCTCGTCTTTGATAGTAATCCAGCGCTGAGAATCAAGTGCGTGCTCGGGGGTGCTTCCGGTATCGAGTTCTTCATGAGCAATTCTTTCCCAGATAGCGAAGCTTGCCGGGTCCAGTGAAGAGACACTTGGAACTGATACTCCCCGGAAACCTTTGGTGTGATGGCCGATAGCCTGTGAAATGTTAGATCATAAATAAAAAGAATAAAGGTTTGACCGTAGCCTAAGCGACTAGTCCAAAATACCAAGGTGCTAAATGCAAAAAGTCCGGCCAACCTGTTGACCACACCAGAACACTCACGAATATCACTTACACTTGCAAGGTTTTCTAAAAGAGTCCGCTCCTCAGGTCGAAGGGATTCAATCATTTCCTGGGTTTCGGGCGATTGAGCGTCGTTCATCCCAAGCTGGCTATAAAGGATCCACGATGCCTTCAGGAGATTCACATGGTGCATAGCTGAATGGTTGCTTCCGAGAAGTTTTGAGAGTTTGATAGACTGAAGCACTATTAAGACGAGGTTTTAAAGATATGAGATGGGGAGATTCCATACTTTTAAAAGCCACCAAGTTCCAATTCTAAGCCAGGCAGCGGGTGGTGAGTTCTTGTAATCACTAAGCAGTGCCGACCTCTGGAAAAGTTCAGCGAATTCTACTGGGGGGGTGTTTTCTGGAATCTGGGGCTGACACGAGATTTGTCTATTTCGAAGTAGTAACTGGAAAATTCTGTCCTGTACGCTCTGGAGTATTGATTTGACTTCGTCTGGATAATCGGTTGCTTCGATTCCTTCTTCTTCCTCATGTGTTGTAGCTATAGAAGACGGTGCTACCGATTGCACATCAGTAGAACTCCGACTCCTCGCTCCCTGCGAACTCTCCGCCGTAGGGCTCTGGGGTTCCTGAGTAGTCTTTTCTGTATCAGAGATAACTGGTAAAGGAGGGACCACAGCCCGTAATTCGTGTCCTAGCTGCTTTATCTCACTAATTATCGCAAAATTTTGTGACCTACCTCAATATCAGCGCTAGGCCTTCCTAGAATCTAGACAACTTTACGTGTCTGGATTCACAATATCATAACTCACGTATGGATTCGTAGCATCACAATCTCCAGAAGTTTTGACTGGACGTGGATCCTATCTCTACACTGAATGAGCGATGGGTATTTCCTTGCCCACCAGATTTTCCACGATATATTTTGAGGCCGCCCCCCGAAATTCTTAAGCAGGTTGTTCCAACATGTCAGACTCTCTTTTGTAAAGGAGACCGCTTCTTCGAGATCGGCTATTATCCCCCTTCGCTCTTCCACATCAGAGTGAATCATTAGACTCCCGCCTGAACCACATTCTCTTCTAATTCCTTCGAGTGTCGATTTCAAGCTCGAAAGCTCTCGGGAAAAAAGCGCGAAATCGCGCTTCGCATTCCCGAAAATACTGATAAAGTTGTCGTACAGCTGCATTGCTAGTTTGATAACAGCGATAGCGTCCGGTATCCCGCAGCTTAACGCCATGATGAGAAACGTAGTCCAATATACTTGATAGTGAGTTGGCCGACAATCTGGAATACGGAGGCTCAAAAAAGATTTCTTATGTTGGCTAGAGCTATGTGAAGAGAACACCCCTGTAAATGTCTAGTGCAACTCGCGCCGCCGTCACTGCCGCGAATGTGGCTAGTAAACAGCTTCCGGCAGCTTCTACTTAATCGAACTAGGGTTCTGTAGAGCGAACGTTTTGGCTAGGGTATAGAAGGTTTGAAGAGTAAATACCAGGCCGATTATTGAGGATGTGGGGAGCACTGTCAATGATGTGGGGAAATGTCATTTACTTACAAGGCTGCTAGCTGTTGAGACTGGTCTCATGGAAGCGATGTGCGCACCTATAACTTAAGTGCGTAGTACGGTCTCGATCGAGGGACCATGATGTTCGGTGGGGGGGATACGGGGTGGTTCCACAGAAGCCATATCAGTACAATTATACATTCGTTGAGGGATCCGTACCACGTATCATAATGTGTAACATAAAGTGTAACCAATAACATTTAGGACCTATGATACTTCAAGTTGATATCAAATCCGGCTAGCTAGAGTGTTGAATGTGATCCAGTCAAGTCTTCGTGAGCCCCGATTCGGATCAATGACGTTGCCTAGTGAGCACCTACATATTCTACACGTAGATAGCATATATATATTCCTACTTTAGGTATATCAAGTAAGTACATGTAGATAAGTACCGCATTAATTCGTCTCGACGGCCGGTCACACAGGACGTTGAAATTCCCCTATATGGTTATTTGCCTTGAATACGCCCCCCAATCTCCCTCATGCTGGCTAGAAGAGGCAACTTAGACGTCTTGTGTGACCGGCCGCTGAGACGAATTAATGCGGTAGTACACATAGGTTCATTCGAATAACAAACACGAGCGGAGAAATCCGCGGTATTGGTCAAATGGGTGTTAATCTGCAAGCCTTAATCACACCAGCCTAGAGCGTATACATAGTGATGGAATTTCTCGGTACATTATATAGAACCCTATCAGCTTAATCTGGTTCTACGGCAACTGCCCTGGCTAACCTCTTGAAAAAGCGGGCTGAGAAGTGCCAAGATAGATCCCGTCGCCTTGAAGGGACCAGGGAGATGAAATCCCTAATTGTGCTGCACTGACCGCGCAGGTAGGTACTCTTTCCGTCTACTTGTGTACTACACAGATTCACTCCTTTGCTTTGAATGAAGTTTTCGCGGTTCTAAATCACATTACCAATCGGATTCTTTGTGAATTTACCCCCCTGAATGTAGCATACATCTAGTAAGCTACGTATAACAGTTCTCCAACTTCTCTTGCTTACCACATGCAAGCATGGCGGGTATCTAGTAATATGTCTCCGCTACATACATCATATGAGTGCAGCACCGTACTTTTCTTGGAGGCTGAAAATGTAACTTTTCCGTTAACATGGACTGTGAGTGAAAATGCGTCAGGTGGTATTCTGGAATAGTTCACGGCCAGTGCCAACCGTTTATATAGAACGTGAAATCAAGGGTCAGATATGTATTTCCGTTACTTGTTTCGGGAGATGTTCTTTTATTCGCGCGTTTAGTTCCGCTGCACTATCAGCACCTATAGAGTTGCCCTATCCAGGCACTGACTAAGTCAACACCAAGTGTTAGCTTTTTAGTCTGTACCGTACTTCATTTCTGCTATTAGTGTCTGTCTTAATTTTCTATTCTTGTTACTGCTTTCTCGGTTTTCGAGTAGTGTGACGTCTGTATTTGGGTGATAGTGAATAAATAAATCAATTGTAGGCGCTCCTTCATGAAGTATCACTCGCTGCTTACAAATATCCTCAAGGCGGGGAATTTACTCGCGCGTCTTCGCCAAGAATTTTCACCTGACTCGGTGAAGAAAGGGATTTTGGTATTCCAATTGGTCAAATGCCTTGATCTCTCAGTCACGTTAAAATCCTTGGCGAAGACGCACGAGTACATATCTCACTAGCAAAAGACAGACCCTTAATTCCTGGGTGCTGACTCCTGCTGAGTACCTATCACTCAAACAGCTGGCAATTGGTAAAAAGCTTGGTTCAAGAGGTATAAAAATTGGCCGCCCAAGATAATGTTAACTGTTCAATTATACAGAAGGTGCACGATCGACCGAGAAGGCGTCCGAGTTTTCGTTGGATCTGGGGTAGAAGTCTTAGAAGCAGTTCCCTACACGTAAAGGAGTAACATGCGGCTGAAAGAAATTGTTTCAGATCGTCTCCGGTATGATGTATATCACATGTCCTCTTGTGATACGAGTATGCAAGGCAGACTTGCAATTGCTAATTATGATCAGTGATTGATAACACTTAATCGATGAACAGATAGTTGGATTGATGAGCCTTGCGTGATCCATACATCCTCAAGTCTAATATATTTCTTGACTTTTGATTGGCCAACCAGCGTTGAAGTTCGTTTAGTCAGCACATGCTCAGAAGAGTGTAAGTATAAACCCTAACCCTAGTTAAAGATGACTTGTGGTACACGAATTTGCAGAGGTATCATTAACTCAAACGAAGGCCTTATAAACCGAACGGGGTCATTATTTGTACGTATGTTCCTACATTGTGTCCCCACCTGGTTAGAGGACATCAGAGGCCGCGTCATCTCTTCCGCTAGCGAGCTCGCGCTCTTCTGTTGATTGATATAGTACCAGTGGTCATGATTGACCAAAGTCTCGGTCTAATACTATTACTCTATTCCAAGATTAGTCATAGGATGATGATTCGACCGATGTTTATGGGCAGTCAGTATACCTAGCTGTAAGCCTTGCGTCCTAAAACCTGTGAAAAAAGAAACTCCAAACGGCGGGGGTACAGTGCAACGTGGGAGACCTTTAACTGGATTAAGGCATACTTTAAAGGAAAAGTACCCCGGATTCGTGTGGGGCATCGAAACCTTGCGTTCTGACGTAGCTGAGGTGGGGTGTATAAGTATGAATTGTCCACCGGATTAGGCCGGAAATATATCAACGCTTATGTGTTAGCTCCCATACCCTTTTTAACGATGTCTGGTATTTTGAATATTTATAAGGAGGACGTCCCAACACCCGCAGAACAAGACGCGATTAGATCTATTGCAAAGCCTTTCCATGCAAAATCTGACGACGAACTTCGGGGTTTGGCTGGCGAGTTCCTTAGGAATACGGAGTTAGATGAAAGCCTATTAGCTATATTCGAGAAGGGTGCAATGCTGGCTCAGCAGCCTACCCGCTATGAACAAAGGGGGGACGGCCTTGATCTCACGGAGACTGAAGTAAGGACCTTGAGAGATGAAAAGGAGAACAAATGGAATATATCAGGGACTCTACTCTCTCTGGTTATCGTTTGCAGTATGTCAGCAGCTGTCCAAGGCATGGACGAAACTGCCGTCAACGGGGGTGAGCAACACATCCGATTCTCAATCAAGTCCATAGCATGCTCAGCCGCATGTTATACAAAGCGCAACTGTTTTATAGTAAACATTTCGGAATCGAGGATGATGAACACCTTCTTGGCCTCTTGAACGCGGCTCCGTACCTATCATGCGCAGTGCTAGGATGCTGGTAAGTCCACAAGAAAGAAGCATTACACATAGTGCGCATTTACGCTAACAGTTCCCGGCTAGGCTCACTAAGCCCATGAATAAATATTTCGGTAGGCGAGGAACGATATTTATTGCATGCATTATCTCGTCACTTTCCTGCCTCTGGCAAGGCTTTACGCATACTTGGCAGCACATGTTCTTTGCCCGGCTAGTTTTAGGGCTTGGGATTGGTCCAAAAAGTGCCACAGTCCCTATATACGCAGCCGAAAGTAGCCCAGCATCTATAAGAGGTGCTCTAACTATGATGTGGCAGATGTGGGTGGCTTTTGGGGTCATGGTAGGGTATTTGGCGGGCGTAGCCTTTCATGATATTCATTCAGAAAAGGTGTAGTACTTCAAGTCTTCCTCTATCCAGCCATGAGCTAGTGCTGAAAGTTATTCCGTTCAGTTTCCAGGATTGAATTGGAGGTTGATGATAGCCAGTCCAATGGTTCCTCCGCTAATTGTTTGTGTTCATATATTCTTTTGTCCGGAATCTCCCCGGTTAGTTCCACTGGTCCGAGAAAGGACGTTCCACTGAACTTTTCTTAGATGGTTAATAAGCCATAAACGTTTCAAATCTGCCTTCGAAGCGCTTGAATCCCTCCGGGGAACTAAGCTTCAAGCTGCGAGAGACCTACTCCATATCCATTTCTCTCTCGAGGCCGAAAAAATTGTCCGAAGAAGGCTAGGTGTAATTCAACGTCGTAAAGAACTACTCACCGTACCCAGGAATTGGCGAGCACTTCGTGCAAGTACTATCGTTATGGCGATGCAGCAGCTTGGAGGTGTAAACGTTATCGTTTATGTGAGTTCAGTCCTTGCGAATATCATTAGGCCTAGTTGACACTTATATCAAGTATTCCTGCAACATCATTGTCGAGGCAGGAGCTTCTACTAAAAAGGCACTCCTACTCTCTATGGGATTTGGAATTATCAATTTCCTTTTTGCACTACCGGCGGTGTGGACAATTGATACATTCGGTAGAAGAAATCTTCTACTAATCACGTTTCCGATGATGGCATTGTTTATGCTGCTCACAGGGATGGCATTTTATATACCAGATGTGGATTCCAAAACTGCGGTGGTTTCTCTCGGTATTGTATGCTCTTTAGTCATACTAAATATTTACGTGGCATGAATGTGTGCTGATGATGCGCAGTTCCTTTTTGGGATGGCTTACAGTCCCGGGGAAGGACCTGTCCCCTTTGTGTACTCCGCTGAATGTTACCGTATGTGACCCCTTCCATTGTTGACCCTCGTTCTAACCGTGATATTTAGCGCTTCATCTCCGTGATATTGGCATGTCCTGGTCCACCTCCGTGACGTGGTTTTTCAACTTTTTGGTTTCTATGACACTACCTCTCTGCCTCAAACACATGGGTGAGCAGGGTACGTTTGCATACTATGCTGGCTGGAACGCCATTGGCTTCTTCCTTATCTTTATGTAAGCTTCTCTATTACAATGGCGTTAAGGCAAGAAACTTACTAATGACCTTGGTGGTGAAGGTATGTACCAGAGACAAAGGGAAAAACGCTAGAGGGTCTGGACAAAGTTTTCAGAAGGCGATCCAGCGGGGAGAATTGGAAATCTTTGAAGGCGCTGTTTCTCAGGGGCCAGGTAAGGTCAGATATCGTTGTTGATGAAGTTGAGCCCGAGCAGACGAAGAACCCGTACCTGATGTAGGCGGATGCATGAAATCGGGAGTGGTTGAGCTCATGAGAGGTGAGAGGTTGAGAGTAGTTGCGAGTTTCCCGGATCACACATGCATGGTTAAGGTGTGCCCGCTGTCGGCATCGATATCGTAGTATGCATATATACGTTTAATTAGGTGACGACAGGTCCCTCTAGATAAATATTATACTTCTGCGGATATTTTATACATGTATTTATCACCTTTTCTCAGTACTAATGCTTTAATTAAGTGTGCCAAGTAGAATTGAACAAGAGTTGAAATTTAAACAGTGTGGGCAAAATCTTGTCTGGTAGCTATTGCTAGCCACATAAATAATGTCAAGATTAATAATTTCTTCTCAAGTAGTCATTAGTATCGTTATCTATACCCTCGGCTCTATTCACTGAGGTTGTGAGATATGTTAGTGTTGCCTTCTGATATATATTTCTAAGAACTGTGGATACCGGCATACATGTAGTTTCTGTCGACCCTGCGGGAGGGAAGTGACAAACGTTAAACGCTTAGAGTGACAAATATGTACCGAGGGTCTATCTACAGGTCGCTGATAGTTTATCGTCTGTTTCATGCCTTATGGTTTTTTGGCGTTACCTATTAGGCTTGAAGAATTAGCTTTGGATCCGAAGGCGACTTTGATCAAATCCAGGCAGTAAAGTTCAGTTTGCGGATTGTGGGATGCAGCGTTGCGATGGAGAAGCGGTGGAGAAGCGGATTAGTGTCTCAGTAGCTGGCTGCCCCACCAACCACCTCACGGTACCAACCACCCCACCTAACCTTCGCCTTCTTTCACCATACCATCGTCACAATTTTTCTTTCATTACGACGTCATAAGAATTGATTAATTTTCTAGGTTGGATGTTTCTTGTAATGGCTTGCTCAACAAACCTTCTTTGGGTCTACTGCTGTCCTCCCCAGTGCAAGATATGTTCGCTCCCTCTACTTCGTACTCACCTCCACAGCATGACCCATTTACCGACAAGGGGTTCTTCTTGCGTCACTGACATTATTTTTCGGATGAGACGGTCTTATGGATGGAGGACTCGGGATACTGTTTCGGTGAATTATATCCCGCCGGAAGAGGCAACGCAAAAAAGAACTCTTGAATGATATATTACAAACTTGAGATATCAGTATGGCGTACTATATTTTATTCTGATTTCCCGGAGCGAAGACGGTCGGTAAAGTTAAACTCACTCTCAACGGCCATGTTGCAACTATGCCTGGTATACATATGCGTACATACATGACGATTTTGTAGATATCTTCACCGTCATTCGAACGGACTATCCGCGGAATTTCATGCTCATTCGTGAAAACAGAGAGCCCTATACTGCAGTCACCCGCTGAGAGACATGGATGTAGTCATTTTTAGGGAGTTTGCATCGAGTATTATGCTACATATCAAGTGGTTTCGGAATATACGACAGGTGTTTTTTTTTGCGATTACACATATTGACGCACAAGCTTATTTATGTCACGTGCATACTCTACTCTTTCTCTCAGTGGGATGTAAGTTTATGAAAATTGTATTTGGAGTTGTTGCCCTTAGTTTTATTCTAAAAAATAAAAGAATAAAATAAGGAGGTAGCGAATGGTAAGAAGTTTGGCGTCTCTGGGATCTTGCTGTCTACTTAACCACTTGAGCTCAGATATCACACGTAAGTGGCTGTCTTGGCCTTGAGTGATATGCCATGATTCGTCTTACTTTTGTTTACTAAACTAAGTGTAGGTGTAGTGCGGTGTTAGTGCTGGCATTATAGATTAGTAATTCACCGGTATAGACATACATATTACCAGGACAGCCACGAACATCAAAATGGCCCTCCAATGAGATCCAGACAACCAAGGAGGAACCGGGGTGGGTTTCTGGGGTCCGGCCTCTCAGTCGTTGAGTGCTCTTATATTGCTGTGATCCGCTCAGTTGTGTGTCGGTAACGCTGGCTGGTCGGTTTTAAGAGTATTAAGCTAGGAACATCACGAAGACTCTAGCCAGTCAATTAAGATATGGGACAAGAATCGGAGATCTAGCATAACAGAAATCTGAGTCCCTAAAGTTACTATGTTCTTTAATCTTGTGCAGCAGGCGATGACTGAGCCATCCGATATTGTCACTCGACGTTGGCATTCTCAGGAGCGTCATGTAAATGCGCCAATCGATCATTTCCCACCCGACGTATCAAGGCTTCCACATTAGAACCACTCATTATCATTGTCATCAATTAATCTCTACCATAATACACAATTTCCACCCAGAACCTCTAAACCAGAACCGTCTAAATCAACAAAGGAAAAGCATGCCAGAATGCCGTTATCCCAAAATTTTATAATATAAGAAAATTCAGTGATAAGTTCCTCATCGATGGCCGGCCCTTATGATCCAATTTCAAGCCCCGCTAACCTCCCTCACCGTAATAATAGCTTCAATATGCTCAGAATTGCGGCAACCTCTTTTCTCCTCCATAAAACTCGCTTGGCTACTTCTGGCCCCCTCATCAATCCACACGATCCCCCTACTGTCGTCACAATCGCCTAGGCCCAGGCCCACACCCCTTGCTCCTGGTCCTTTCTCTTCGTCCCGCTTCCCACACAAACTCTGTTTGGAGAGCCACGTCTTTAGTCCGCATACAGTGCGTTTTATCATCTTTTTTATCCCTTTCCTCTCGTAGGTCTTCTTTTGATTTTCCTCCAATTTTGCCTGATAACCTTGCTCCCAGGTGCTCCCATAGGTAGTTACGGGGGTTTCCGCCAGCGGACTTCCGTATATGTCTAGATTCCTGGGCTTGTAGGCAGATGCAAGAATGCCGTGGGGTGGGAAGGACTCCAAGGGAACCGCAGGAACATCGTTGTTCAAGAACTGTTTACCTCCACTTCCCATTGCGCCGGTATTACGATTAAGAAAGTATTAAGTTTTAGAAAATCACTGCGCGTGTTAGTAGGATACTCTGGAACATAGCACAAAATTGCAACACCGTGGTCCAGTAGGACTCCGGAAGAAGAATTCTTCTCGAATCCCATAGAAAACCTCGGCATGCAGGGTCCAGCAGTGCCAACTCACCTGAAATTAAAAGCGGCAACTAAATTTGAAATACGGCCCGACCCTTGCTTAGCACGAGCACCAGTGTCGTTATCCTGACGTTTCCAGAACTCCAAGGGACTGCTGTGCGGAGCTATATGTTAACATATATGTAAGACTCGATTGAATGCGAGTAACGACCCATAAACTCACCTGAGCTAGGCTAGAGCAGTGGCAGTTACCGACTGATAGCGGTCTGCGGCCAGTTACCCTATGGATACTGGTATTGGCCTGAGTTCCGAGACTATAGGTGTGTGGGGATGGTATTCGTATTGAGAGCCTCTCGAAAATAAAAAATTAAATGGAAAAATTACTGAAAATAAAAATTATAATCAAGAAGAGAAATAAGGGTGGGGAAGGCGGGGAGAAGTAAGGGCTTCGTTCCTCACCTTTTGTACTTTTAGATACAATATACGAATAAGCCTTCATGATCCAAGGCAGCCAATCCGGATCTCTCCATATGTACAAGGCTCTGGGATTAAGTGAGTGAACGGATCCACATCAGTCAACACCCCATTTGGTTCACTCACTTAATGCCAGAGCCTTGTACTTGCCCTGCCATGCAGGTAGGCGAGCTTAATCGAGTGGAGAAACATTTCCGGCACGCACCCATTACGTGGTAGCTGAGAATTCCAGAAGCGGAGTAAATCGTAGACCAGCTAGCAGCATGCGCAGCGTTGAGGCAACACACGGATTCACGGGAAAGAACACAAGAGGCTGTGGAGAAAAGCAAGGAGACAGGTATGAACCTCATTTTTTTTTACCGATTGCATGGTGTAAATGATGTTTATAAGTTACAGTTGTGGTCAGTTGGTTACAAGTGTTCAAGATCGGTTCCTAACCAATGCTTTTTGAGCATCATACTAATATTACCTAAACTCAACGTAAAAAAAAAGAAACAAAATACCCGCCAAGGTCCAACCTGACAGTTTCACGTGCTACATGAATTAAATCGTGATAAAAATTGAGAAACGCCAGATACGCCTAAACCATATGAAACAACACTTCCTAGCTATCTTATCTTTAGGTATTCCACCAATGGTCGTGCTCCAGCAACCCATCCTTATTGTGTTCTGCACTTCTATCCTCCCTCCTTGTGCCACCGTCATATCCCCAGCGCCTGCGCCCTTCCCAGATCGCCCAGCCACCGATCTTTTCGGCTTCTTCAACCCACTTCGCCGCGTCTTCTCCCCACTTGCTCGCAACAGCGTCTTTCAGCTTCTGGCCTCCCTCCCATGACTGGGAGGTATCCATCTCCATGGGATCCCGCTCGGGCCACGAAAACGTGTACGGCGAAGGCTCACAAATGGGTAAGACCAGCCTGTATGGATGAGCAGATGAAACAACTGATAGATGAGTTCCGCCGGGATTGACAACGCCGAAATTCCACTGCTGTCTTCCGAACCTGATAGGACGGAAAGGACGTATGAGCGATTGGCCCTCGTACTCGGGGAGCATGTACTTTGCGATAGCCGTTGACTCATCGTTGAGTGAGTTTGTGGAGATGAGTAAGTCCAGAACGGTGGGAAGAATCGTCATTGAAGTTGTGGTGAAGTTCAGCTGAATCCTTGGTAGTTGCGGATGGCGGAAGACTAGGGGAACTTCAAAGTTCTTGATATGTGGGTTTACATAGGTAGTTTTGGCATTCGTAGATTCTCCAAACGCGAAGCCACTATAGTGAGTAGCCTGTTAGTAAATTCCCATCTGAAATAGGCTTTGCCGAACGGATCTAACTTACTGATCTCCAACCATAACGATCAAAGTTTCATTAGCAACACCAACTTCTTCCAAAACGCCCAAAACCTCAGTGATCCATGAGTCACCCCACTTGATGCTGTTGAGGTACTTGTTCCATGCTGCTCCGCCTCCACTTGCGTGACTGCCCTCGGCACCCCAATACGGCTCCTGTTCTCCGAACTCTGGTGGTGTAGCCCATGGATGATGCGTGCTGCTTGTCAAATGCGACAAGAACACTCTATCGCCAGTAGCCTCGGCCTCCACGAACAGGTCTTTGATATATGGCTTCAGCTCCGTTTCGGAATAACCAAAGTAGTTCAGCTCGGCCTGTTTCGGTTTATATTTTGCGTCTGGTGACTGTAGCGTTTCCCGGACCACCGATCCGTCGAAACCAATCTGGTCGATGAACGGAGCTTGCCTATCGAATTTGGTCGTGGAAGCCTGCATAAAGACGGATTTCCATGTCCCATTATTCCTCCACCCCTTCTCAACTGTGCCCGGTTTTGGAAGGTTGGCGTTCATGGCCTTCAAGATATGTGCAAGACACGGCTGGTAGATGTCGGTTTCTAGCTCCTCCATGAAGTCGACTGCTAGCGGGGAAACTCCGCAATGGCTTCCAAGTAATGACTTTAGAGTGAAACTACTACCAGTTAGTGCTCCCTTGATATTGATGCCTCCAAAAGTGCTGTTAACAGATCTTCCAAAGCCACCATCTTCTCCAGTAATATCCTCGGCCATGTGACTCAGCTGAGACAGATCTGCCCATGGTTCATTTTTGGATACATCGCGCTTGGAATTTGTAAGATGGCCACGGGACTCCATAATTTTGTTGTATAGAATGCCGTCCTTGATGAGCGGGAAAACATCCTTACGGGTTGACTCGAGGGAGAGGACGATGACATGTTTGATCGAGACTGTTGAGAGGGCATCCTTCAGAGCATCCATTATCGGGAGATCGAGATTGGTAATCTTAAGCGGGTCGAGAATTGGTTCATAACCGGGCGGCGGAGGAGGCGCGAAGTCGTCCTCGTGATGTCCATGGGGATGGTGACCATGATGTGGAGGAGGGGGGCCATCATGATGTCCAAATCCAGGGGGCGGAGGCCCATGGTGACGGTGACCATAAAACCGTTCAAAACCAGGTATCTTACTTTCCGGGAGCCAGCTCGGGCGGTTTTTCGCTCTCTCTTCAGCAACCTCCCACCAAGGGCTTCCAGGCCTCCATCCCCGTCCAACACCGTCTTCAGCTCCTTCAGCGGGTATCCAAAATTCTTTCCGAAGAAGCTCTGGGAATGGAAATTCAGGGGGTCCGTCGTACGGCGAGGGTTCGCAGAAGACCGAGCGCCTGACCCAAAGACCTTCGAATAATGTGAAAGGGAGGGTTCCGGACATGTGCTGATACGGGGACAGAGGACGGACGACATGCAAAACAATGATAGTTCCAGTTACCACAAGGAGCTTAAGCCTTGCCCACCTGATAGCGCCGATAGAGTTTGAGGGGGAAGCCTTTTCCGCGATAGAGTCAGAGAGCAGCCCTTCACCATCTTCTTGGTCAGAAGCACGGCGTCTCGCAAGACCCTCCCTGAACATGATCCATTTGCTGGGGAAGATGGTAGTCACAATGGATCTAACCATGCGATGAGAAAGATTGTAGAGCAATGGGTTGAACAACCAGGCTATGCCACCAAGGATTCCGATTGTTAACGAAAGGCCATAGAAACCGCTCATAAGCATCCCAAAAAAGCCTTCTGGTTCTCTCAAGACCTTGGCCAACATATTCCAATGAATCTCACCGCCGGTTTCAATGAAGAAGCCAATCTGAGTAGCAGAGGTAGATGCGATGAGAAGCCTAGCAAGGGAATTAGAATGGCCTACCCAATAAACACCCCCCCCCCCCCGGAAGGGACTTACGAAAGAAAGATGCCAGCAACTCTCCATTTCTGAAAGATAATGCGTGAAAAGAATATTACCAAAAAATCTAAGAAAAGAAACGTCGGGAAATACAAGAGAAAGAGAAATATGGGGATTGTAGTCAGATGCGAAAAGACGTGGAGGAGCTTTGCGGATAAGAGTGAGACCACGAGTAGCGAGTAGAAATAGGCGCGGTCTGGCCATGTCAATGTAATGGAGGGCATTATTGCGGTGTATCAGAGCTATGTGTGAGCTTTGATTGTCTATTGTAGGGAGACCGATGTGTTGAACATTAGCAGCTCAGTTATTAATGATCTATGGCTTTGCCGCTGGAGACGAGGCGCAAAAAAAACCAAGTGCAAGTGTAGATGATCTGATGAGAGCGCCGATAAACTCAAATCTTATGGGGACAAACGTAAAGGAAGGAAGCGACTCTGTGTTGAACAAGGCTGAGCCGAAGGATGGAGGAAAGCTGTTGAAGAAATGAAGGGAGATAGAAAGGAGGCCGAGCGAGAGTACAGTGCCTAAGATTGAAAGCAGCGAGCGGCGGTTTAAGGAGGAAAAAGATCTTGTGAGAGGTACGGCAAGTTACGCACAGGCCGTGCAGGAGGCAGGTGACGGCTACCTATTTTAGACTATGCACTTTCAGGAGTTTAATATGTGTCGCTAGAAATCTAATTAAAATCATGTAGGTAGATGCATAAGCCTCGCTCACTAAGCGCGTCCAATGAGGATAAGATCATAATTCGACCTCACATCTGTGAACTGTGAACTTTTTGGAAGAATTGTACTATGTAGGATACATAAAAGCAGGCATCGATCGGATAATCGATGGAGAATTGACTGTTCTCAAGTTTGATAGCTGAAGACGGCTGAAGATTGGAACAAAGTTCTCCTGCATGCCAAGCGTTGGTGTGTGCTAGCTCTCTTGGAAATATTAATACATAAGACGCTCAGCCCTCATAGCCTGTAATGCTCTAGTGAGCTTCCTTCCAGAGAACCCTACCATTTGAGAGTTACATGTAGTTTCTTGTGGGAGGAACTGAAGACTGAAGACTGGCACATACAAGCACCCCCCCCCCCCCCCCTCCACTGCATATCGTTACCCCTCTCCACTAAGCCCCATTGTCCATGAAATGGTAATTGCCCCCGTGCGCCTTGCCATCGTGCAATTTTAACCCTTCCACAGCCAGAGAGAGCGCGTGTGTGGCATAACCGATGGTTTCCATTACCCCATTGGATTTCCGACTCTTGTGTACCGACCACTGATGTTGAGTCATGTTGCAATTATCTGGGTGTGCTCGCCAGGCTCCCCTGGATCCAGACACCCCTGTCAAGGCTAAGCCTTTTCGACAAGGGCTTTAATCAGTTAAGCCTTTGGATTAACAAGGGTCGTGTTCAGATCTGCATACTAGCTGCATAAATGCTATCCCGCGATGGACTTGTTTTTTAAATATCCCCGCGAGCTATGTGTTCTAGGTGCCTTCTTTTTTTGTTTCCACGCTACTATATCCGTCAAAATTTAGACCCGAGGAATTTAGGAAGGCTCACTCACCGTGGATAGAACGCCGCAAATAACATTTCCCGTAAGCTTTCAAAGTCTCCCCACGGTGAACTCCTACCACCTCGCCAAATTTAGTTTCACCGGGACCGGCACCGTGCCGAGAACCGAAAAATTCGTTAATTGCGCTGTTTCTGCAATACTGGGTTTAGCAAAGGGGAAAGAGCATGGAAGTAAAATGTCTCATCCATCGACCATTACGCTAGAAGTGACAGGAGGTGCTAATCTTTACAGCTTAGCCATAGTTTATCCGAGACTCTGAATAAGAACCTACAGCATGCTGTAGGTTGTTCGTTTGCGCGCCTAAATGAGTCTCGGGTAGGCTGGTAATTGTGATTACTGATCTTTTTTCTTATGCAGGTTGAGTGTGCTGCAGGCCCCGGCAAATTTATGGCTACATACTCGCGACCAGCAACAAGAACCCGAAAATGCACGTCCTAATCTGCAACTTCCATTGGAGTAGCAGTCACAAATACACCAAAGACTTGCAGCTGCATATTCGGGTTCTTGTTGCTGGTCGCGAGTACATGTATTGATTAGACCGTGTTGCAGATCGCGTTGAAGTATATACTGCGCCCTCAATTTCAAGTCGACTTTGGCCTCTGTTGATCATCATGAAGCTACATCCCTTCAGTGCTAATGACCGTAACCATGACTATTTCCAACGAAACAAATAGATGAATCACATTGGAAACTGAGAATTCTGGAGTTCATATCAGTCCACGATCAACAACGTTTCGAGCTCCACGTCCATTGGAATGTACTTTACCTAACTATTTATGGATAGTAGATACAAGCGCAAACATCCCTTTCCCCCCTTTCAACCTAGAAAATATGCTTATCCGAGTTTGGCCCCGAGAACTCTCCCTATCGCGGTACCTGCAGCTACTGTTCTCCGTGTAGTGCACCCTTTTCACACGTGACGGTAGGCTCCAAGATTGAAAGGAATTCGTTTTCTTCTCGACGTCGAGTCGGGGATTTATATTCTACAAGTAGTGACGCGTCATTTGGACCCTTTTATTACTCCAGTTCTCGGCGGCCGGATACTAGTATCTCCGAATTTTGTGTGCTTACTAACTACATATAGATTTTGCCAAGAATATTGTTTGGTTTGTGAAGAATGATTATTCTTACGGGACAGGGTGTCGCGTGTTGATAAAGCACATGTAGATCACAAGAAAAGGTACAACATATTAGAGGCGTTGAAGTGGAAGTACATAATCTCTTCACCACGACCCAACGTCGCTAATGAGCAGTAGCCAAACGCACCCATTCAAAGTTCATAGCTACCAAGCACTGCACTAAGTTTGATGAAAGGCAGAGGAACGACAGTTTATTTCGTTCGGGTTACAGTTACTGGATCCGAAGGTAGAGAAAAGAAAGAGAAGAATGATGGACATGAAAGAAGAGAGATGTCGAAGATTTGACTGACTACTTGTCCGTTTGAGCCCCTGCATTTTTATTAGCCCCCATATCGCACATGACTGTATATATGTACTAACGACCGATAATATAAAAGACTTGTTTTTTCACCCCGCTATTCTTCAATCCCAAATTCAAAATCGATGTCTTGTCCAACTCTAGATATCTGCGGGCTAATGTGTATCATCGATGCATCATCGACATCATTGTCATCTAAACCCCCCTAATTCATGATATACTTCCTTTTGGAGATTGTTGCACACGATTCTTTCTTCAATATGTCATGCTGCTTACTCATGGACTGTGTCCAGCTCAGGTACCCGCCGGGTCTACGCTTCTACGCCGTACGGCTAGATAGATTACTCGAACACCTTGAGAATCTTAATCAGCTGTGTTCCAGGCTATGACGCCATAAAATTAGGCATATCAAAGCTGAGAGATTGGCCATAGGCTACTTGAAAAGAGTGCGGTTACTTGCTGGGTATGGAAAACTTGCGCTATATGAAACAATCTACGCCCTGACTGTATAGCGTTTATCTACCATCGATGACCACTCACGGTCCCGGGGAAAGCAGATAACTTGACCACTAATCAGAGGATGATTGGTGCGGTCTGTGACCGTTCATAGTTTCGTGAGAACACAGAGGTGGTTAGGCCGAGTGATATCTTGTGATTAACCCCCACCCACTCCCTACGCCGTGCAGCAGCATAACCGTTATACTAAAACTTGCAGTTCATGATATATCTAGTCTTCACCTTCGGCTATATCTATCTGGTAATTTTACCAGTGTAATATAACAACGTACCATTTTGTTTACCTAAAGAGCCGGCTCCTGAATACGGCCTTACCGGCGAATATTCCTCAGCCATGAACTTTCTTGACAGGGTGTATCCAGCGGGGAAAAAATCTGCCTCGGTATTCTCATTCGCGAATTGGCAGCGTTTGTTAGAGGATAGACCCACTTACAAATAATTTAACGAGAATTTTACTCCCTCCACCGCGCCGCATTCTTAGACAAATCACGCCTGTATTCCTGTATTCTTGAATCCACCTCCATAGTATATACATGGCGATAGGGGATAAAAAAAAACATAAACGAAAGAAATATACTTGTCAGCCTCGGCGGTCGCAATTGGGACTAAGCTTTATCAAGCTTTCCAACAGGTTGGATTTTATATATTTTCTCCTGGAACCGCGATAGGGCCCACGTGCATTTCTCCCGCTTTTCTCCATTTGGGCTGTTCTAGAAAGATATAAATTTCATCTCGGACTATTTACCTAGCTTCGTCGGCCCGGGGGGGGGGGGGGGTTACAAAAATAGATATAACCATATATCGAATGGTGGAATTTTGGTAAGTTTTTCCTCGCTGGATAATGCTAGGCCTCCCATGAATGCTGCTCATTCGCGGTTAGGTGTGCCCAGCCAGATTATTCGCCGCCGGCATTGTTCACCGGGAGGCTAGGTCAGCACCTTAATATATGCATACTTCGTATACTTTCGTTTGGCCTAGTACTGCGAATACATGTATGGGAGAGAATTTAGCACTATCTTGACCTCTTTCATCGATCGCTTCATTGTTCAACTCTCTTATTTTTATGACGATCGTATCACCGTGGTTCTCAGTGCGTTGAAGTGCTTATCGGGAGATCTTACCCAGATTGATACCTTACCCTAAGTTATGCTAGGTATATCACTCAAAGGGATGAAACATACATGTTTCAGTCAGGGTTAGATGCCGAACGTACGTGAATAACCTATCAAGGGTTATTTAGGAATTAAATGTTTCTCCCTGTCAATTCGGTGCTACGTGGCAACCGAGTGATAATCTGTGATTAAATTTCGTAAAAAACTGAATATTTAACAATGTTTTGCGGTATTCCCAATTTTTGTCACAACATAGAACTCAGTCTACAGGACTTAAAAACATTCCTTAAAGATATTTAATCATTCTTCATATCACATATAATGTATCATGCCATAAAGACTCCCTACGTCGTCTGCTGCTGTCCTTGTGACGCATGTTCCCTTAGTTCCAATGCAGTGCCATCTTTATCCTCTCCTAGGGCGGCAACCTTCCTATCTAATGCCTCCTCTTCTCCTGCCTCAACAACATCAACCTGCCCAAATAACTTGTCCATCCTCTCCAGAGAGATGTTTTTCGTCTCTGGCAGGATCACATACACCGAAATCTAACATTCGTTAGTAGCCACCCCATAAGCACTATTATTCTGGAGTGGAA